GAATCGTGACTACTGGCGTGTGCAACTATCACCAACAGATGTATCCACCAGTATTTCCAGTCATATTTCTATTCTCATGAACGAGCAACCTGTGCAGCCGACCTTGACTCGTAACTCGTTCTCTTCTGGCGTCTGTAAAAAATACCATCGTCCAGCCCTCTTTTGCTAACTACCGTGACGTGCTTAATGCCGTTCTCCGCTCATTTATCGAGCCAAGTGTCTAGGCTTTATATTGTGGCACAAAGCACACAGTACCCCTTTGACGTGTACAATATTGAATCGTTGAATGATTAGATCGAGTAAATCATCCAATTCATTATCGATAGCGAAAAAAGAAGTTATTCATATCGGGATATTAATTTGACGGAGCAAAACGATAAAAAAAGAAGAAGGTTGGACGTAGTCTTATCGAAGATACAGTGTGTTATGCGATAATTAAGAGTTTTAATAGTATTAGATTTGGGTTAAGAAATCGTGTCGAAATTGGATTCTACTATTTACGATTGCAGCTTCTTTGAAATGATATGTGCCTTCTTTATGAAAGTTTTCTTTCCGGCTTCCGTATCGTAGCTGAAATTGTCTTATAGCGTATTTCTTCGTTGAAAAATTATGTTTTAAAATTTATTTCAACTAACATTTATTGCAACTGGTAGATTTAGTTGTACATCTACTTCCGAAGTTATGGACTATTAGCGAGAAATACTCCACAGACGATTGCATCGAATCGGACTGGTTCAGTGGCAAATATTTCGTTCTGAGTTGAACGTGCACGCATCACGTTTGTGTTTATGGGATGTGGCACAAACTCCTCAAGCAATTGTACGATCTTACCGTCTTCTGCCATGACGAACCGTTAAGAGAATTCTTAATTCATTGAAACGTTCAGGAAGTTGGTTACTGTATACAAAACAACTGATAATGGCTAATAAAACTTATTCTAGGATTTATGCGGATTGCTTCCTCTATACATACACTTTCGTTTATAAGTACAGGAAAAAAGAACTGACGGTCTTTTCGTGTAGTTGTAGCTCGTTTACCGCGTTTTCATGTCATGTGTGGTCAGTTGTCGGTTTACATTGCAAGTTCTTTGAAATAAAGATTCGTCTCCGTTTCCGGAGGATTAATCTAGGAACGCGAGTTTGAATTGTATATTATTGGTATTTTTAAAGAACAAATCAGATCTTTTTGTTGGACTCTGTATTAGGACACTTATTAAACGTGAAGAAAACCTAAGCGGTCGTTACAAAATTATTAAGACCCTGAAGAAAATTATTCACTCTGATAAAACTTCTGAATGTCTATTTCCATTTAAGGTGCCGTCATAAAAATAAGAGCCTAATAGTGTATCATTGATTATGCTGCATGAAACATTGTCAATTAAAAAAAAATCGTAGTATCGTCGTTACGCGAAAACCATTGTAAATTTAAAATACCTATTGAAACTATCATACTGCGTATAAAAAATAATGAAAGTTTGCTCTCTTTTATTCTTCTTACAAATCTACCACTTACGAGAAAAACGTTGGAAAATAATAGCGGATATACTTATAAATTGCAGTGTAAGTACATACCACATAAATCAAATATCGAATAATTTGTAAGATTGAAATGTAACGAATTCGAAGGAAAATATTTTTCCAGCATCTCTTATCTGATGAATAAAATGATTCTGTATTAACTCTGAATTAGCCAAGTGTACGCATACCCAACTTTTTAAATTCGATATGAAAAATTAAAAAATGATAAATAGGACATTTTACCTAAAAAAGGCAAAAAAGAAAAAAAAACACTCGATATAAATCCTAATGCATACCGATAACGTTTTGCACAATATCTTCAATCTTTTTACTCATTCCTAACCACCAGTGTGACATACGGTTCACATTTTTTACCACATACTTATTTTTCTTCTGTACAACATCTAATCTTTTTTAGCTCACAGTCTTTATTCTCGAACTAACCAAACAATTTTTCTGATCTGCCTAATTATACACGTGAATCCAATAAAAGGTACACGCCATACGTAGTTAATAAGGACGTTTACGTGTCTACCAGCGGCGTCTGTCATGTTCTGCGGACATCGGGTTCAACAAACAATTCCAACTGAAATCCGTGTTCCCTTGGATTTATTTGTGACGCGAGGGAGACAGAGCTGAATGCTGCGTTTCCATCAAAAGAGTGTACGACCCTATCACGTGCATGGAACAATGCCGATTAACCCCTCGTGTTATTGTGCATAACAAAACAAGAACAACGGAAAGGAAGAACAAGGAGCACGCGATAATGGGCGCAATCTACGGTTGACACGAAGGAACTCACCGGCATTGTGCAAGTACACGAATCGTTTGCCCGAAAGAGTCAGCAATTAAACGTATAACGAAACTAATCGCGACAGAACGCTGTTTATGACTAAGCATTGTTTTATAACAATAATCTCCCACGAGCGTGGGTTCCGAATGAAAGCAACAAAGGATGATTCACATCTCGTAAGATTCGACAGTGAATATCGTGTGATGTGATCTCATCGTAAATCGAAAAAATCGTTAATTTCGCTATCTTAGTTTTTATATCGTTGAGAGAGTATGTATTGGAGTTTAGACGGCTGATTTTTCAGCCGATTTCTAGGCGATAATAAAAGTTACAATATTTCTGCTTTGCATATACACTTATTCATCTTTCGACTGCGTAACATCGGTAATAAAGACTTGACATGTTTACTACTTTCAGAGTTATATGACGTAGTGTGGGAACATCCTTGCCGACTTGTCCCAAGGCTGACGGCTTTACTATTGGCCAGAAAAAATTGAACTAAACGTTCCTTTAATCCGTAAGAGTGTCCCTATCGCCCAAACCACGATCATAAATTTAAAAAATTTATCTACAAAATGGCAATGGATGAAAGTCAAAAATATTTCCTTCCTATGGTCTTCGTAAGTTATAGGTGCTAAATATAACGAAGTTTTGAAAATATTAATTTGAGTTTTGTTTGAATAAGAGTAATAAGTGTTCTGAGTATGCAGTATAAAGGGGAAAGCAATCGGTCTAATAGTTTGCGAGAAAACTTGGAAAACTTGGTTTCCAAAGAATCGCGTTTAAAGATTTTTAAATATCTGCATCAGGCATTGTTTTGAGTCATTCGAACTTTCACAGCTCTAAAAATTTATCAAATTTCGAAAAATCGTTTGATATACATATTTTCCGGTCTACAAGAAGAGCAAAAGTACCGGAAAAAAGGTTTCGATTTTTTGACCCCGAAAATAAGAATACCTCGTTAAGTTTGTTTTGTATCGTGTGAATGAAAGCAGAATTGTTAGGTTGCATTATCTGTCAATTCGACGACAATTTTTAATATGTTCAATAAAAGGTTCAGCCTTTAGTTTGAGGTGTGTCACGGCCAACAGTGCCGGAAACGTCGAATTAAACGTGCCCCCGGAGGAAGTGAAACATGAAATATGTTTCTTTCATTTAATTACTACACTCGACACTGAGCTATGATCACGGGGAACATTTTTAATACGGAACACCGTGATAAGAACTGGTATATCGACGCAATCAATTGAATGATCATGAGACTAACCAACGGATTTGGGTTAATAACTTTGAAATAATAAATTAAGAAAAAGAAAACACCAAAATTATGTCCTTTCGACTTTAATTTTGCAGCAGAGCATTAATTAATTTCATATTTATACAGAGTGGTGCAAAAACGCTGTGTTAACCTAAAATATTTTCGTTATTTGTAACAATATCCAAAAATGTTTTATACAAAATTTTCATGATATGGAGGGAAATATAATGAAATGCAAATACTTTTTACGTGGGTGGAGGCGTAAAAGATTTCAAGCTCATCTCCATTTTTTTAAATGAAATGCTACACTTTTTCTGTCGCTGTTGTGACGATTTCAGCATGCTATCGTTAAAGGTCGCTAAATTTATTCCAGCAAATGCTGTAATTCATTGTGACATTTACTTTTACGTAAACAGATAGTCTTGCCGCAATATTTACGTTCTAATAATACATTACTAACAGTTACGAACGTAAATATTATGACAATTTACGATATTGCGTGGAATATCGGTAATCAATATGATCCAACAAGTGGATATGACCCTCATTTGCAGGGAAACTCATGAAAATTTTATAAGAGACCAAGCCTTCTAGGCTGAACAGTATCCGAATAGTGCACATCCTTCACACCGAATATTTCAGAGATTGTGTTAAAAATTAAGAAAAACTGGAAGTTTGGCTGCAAGTAAGAGCCGTTACGCACTGTCGACCAGTCGTCGGCAACCGTTAGGTTCAAGAGAATATATGAGCTCGTACACGAAAACACGAGCGACGAACTGGCAACTCGTTGGTCGCGGCGACCGATGAAATGCATTGAATCAAATACACGCGATCATACGACAGGAAACTTTCTTGCTGATCAGACGTAATGGTGAGCTTCAATACAGAAAAATTTATACAACAACACCGACAACTTTGGAGTTGCTGTGTGGTCGCCAAGTTTAATTGCCTGGTTTTTGGTCTTTCGCCATTGCGTGACGGCTCTAACTCTAATCCATCGAAAATGGAAAATCGGTGAAAGAAACGAAATTGGTGTTCTTGTTACAACATCTCGTAACCCACAAATTAGCTCCCGACAAATTGAACGTGACTCTGATATTAGCAGGAAAAGCGATGTTACAATTTGCTTTTACAATGCGATGGCACGATTTTTCGTCTCATTTAAAAACGACACGTTTTTATAATTGAGATAAATGTATCAGTAAATTGAATGTTTTAAAACGCGACGACCACTGAGAGTGATGTTGTTTTTTTAAATGTTGCAGCGGAATCGGATATTTGCACGTTCGCAGCGAGGACGGAACATTTTCACATAGTTAACAAACCATCTACGGCCCTGTTCACGTCAAACACCAGACCGAAAGCCTTGAGAGAATTATATGAAGCTGCTGCTATAGTCGCTGTCAGAAGTTTGGATAGCCTGAGAAGGGACGGTAGTTCCATAGATATGTTCCTCTGCACGCCCGTCCTTGGCAAGAGAAGGCGAGACCAGAGTCTCGATATCGAATCCAGGATCGTAAGTATATGTACATCTATTTATGTGTATGTATGTATGTATGAAAGTGGAATGGTGTCTCGTGCAAATACAGATTATAGAATTAACGATTGGTTCTGGTTGATATAATTGTTTCATTCTTACCTTGTATCACCGTTCGAGTGGTTTCAATTGTACAGCCTCTTGTGATTAAGTTTGTGAAGTGTGAAGCTGTTGTTTACTTTGAAACAGACATGTTTACGAGATCGTTGTAGTTGTTGAAATTGAGCAATTTATTACATCCAAGGCTACAGGAAATAAAAACTGTATATTCATGAGAAATCACGGCTTCGAACGCATTTGAAGTAACGGGACACGTGAAGCATGTATTAGGGGATTAAAAATCCGTGTTGTTGGAATGGTAACGAACTTGCGGTTACTATGATACAAGACAAGAATGGCGCTTGCAGAAGTTACGTTCAACGCCTTCAACAACCTCAGATCGTAAACACAACTCGCATGAACAGATTATATATACATGTTGTTGATCTATTTCTACTTTGTATCGTAACCGCACTTCCGTTAGCATTCCCTTCGTATTTCGCACGAGTGTCATCATTGTTTAATAAAGCTTCAAACGACCTATGTTTATATAACATCTTTTCCTTATATCTATAAAACATACCTACTGACAAAGTTTTATTAGAAAAAATTTGGACACCCTGTATGTTAGGCTCTAAACTATCCCAAATCTCTATTACAAGGGACATCACTAAACTGATACACTCCAATTTTGATCAAATTTTGCACACAGTTATAGAATCCGAAACTATTGAACATATATTTCGTTTCAGCTGCATACATTCATGTTTAGGCGGTGAAATCGCCCTCCAAACTTGGGAGCTGGAAAACTATTAACTAGCACAGTTCAGAAACGAATTGACGTAAAGAAAATTGTCAAATACAAATTTTGTCTGGCTTTTCACGCAGAATAACCTGATATAAAAAAAAATATGTGTTCAATATTATCGGATTCTCTAGCTGTGTGCAAAATTTGATCAAGTGCGGCGTATATCGGTTAGGTGTTGTCTCTCGTCGATGCACTTTTCCCCAATTTGTATCGCGGAAATTTCCACGAGGTCTTTCAAAGATATCTTTCGTAATGCAACGGTACACCTGTGCGAATCACGAACGTGACCACAGAGTTGTCGCGAGAAAGGATTAGGTTTATCCAGGCTGCGAGTTTCATGTCTGTGGGACTCCGTACATAATCCCATTGGTATGGCCGCGCTACGATAGGACTGGCCTGCATAAGCAGGTTCAATGGGAGATGTCATGAGAAGCCAGAGAGATACATTGAATCTTACACGGTGGTCTCTATTGAGGGCCCATGAACTGCTCTATAATGATACGTATCGTTCCCCCGCGTTGTCGTTTCGTTAATGCATCGGTCTTTTAATAACTCACGACTTCTACGATCCCTTGTGATTTACTCTTATTAGGGACCATTATCAGGAACGTATCTTTGCTGCCATTCACTTTCATTTGTCCTTTAATTAGCACTGTTATTAACCGAGAGAATTTCGGTGTAATCTGACTCTTGCATATTCGCCAACGAAGATCAAAGTCCGCAATAGTGATAGAAGTGACATTACATTAGTAGATTAATCTTCTTCGAATTCGCGTGACGTCTTTGATTAATAATTGTATCGATAAATCTACCGGGAAGGAATTAAATCGTAGACTGTTACAATCGTAGTAATCTATGACGAAGTTTCCTCTAATCTCTAAACGATGTGTTGAAAGTAACACGTTTCCATATGTGTAGATTCTAACCATTGCTTTTTCGTTAGATATAATTTTAAGTTCTTCTTAAGTAGAATATTTAAGCTTGTTGCTGTCGAACTTCTATCAAATTAAACAATTGTTTGGAGTGTTAAGTGAAAAATTACCCATTGCGTGAAAATGTCACGTGCACAATTGTGCTTATTGATTTGCGGAGAAAATTTAACCCTTTGCAACCCTGAATTCCATCTGTGCTGGCATTGTAGATTCTTTCTGACAACTCGGAATACCAGTTGGTGCTGACATGAATAATTTTGCATTCTCTCATTACACACAATCGTATAACAGTAACATGCATCTATTTCTAGAGATTTCATTTACAACGTCAGTTATCAGTGCATGTTTTCGAACAAGTCCAGATTGTTTCAGCCAGAGCGACAGAGGTGTGAACGAAGAGTGGTTAGACGGAGCATTTGAGTTTATGGCGTAAACGAAGGGCATGTGGCTATTCGGGATATCAAATGAATGTAACTAAACATTTGCTAAAAATGTACTCATGTAATGAAAGTGATGGAGATATAGAAAAGAAAAGAACGTGTATGTTCTAGGATAAATATTATAATTATGAACAATGCTTATGAAAGTCAGTATAGAAAGAATTGAGCGTTAGAGTCACGAGATATTTAGAATTTTAGACAAAGAGATTTCTATTTAGTAATTTAGTAATAGTTTGGAGCAAAAATTATTAGAGTTTTGTTTGGGCAAATTTATTGTTCTAAATGTATTTTACATAATGAGCACAACAGAAAAAAATGTGTATGAAGATCAATAAATTGATGTATAAATGATCAAATCTACTGTTGCCTATTTATGGCAAACAAGTCATCCCTAATTTTTCCTCATAAATTCTCTTTTTAATTACCGAGTCGACGAAAGGAAATATTCAATTGTTTCCAGAGTGCAAAGGGTTAATATTTTTCCTACAATGAAATTATGTAATTTACGATTAGACTGGTCAGGAACAAAATTTGGCACAGTCGTACACATATACCAATGCAGTTTTTCATACTTCCGTTTTGGTTCGAGCAACGAACGTTTCTACATCTCCCTCTGGCACCGGTCGTCATAAGTTCCAGGCGATTTTACGGAATGCAATTGGAACTCGTTTCATTGCCCTGTCAAACGATTAATCACTACGCGCCGCAGTCGAGCCATAAATCCGCTACTCGTATTACAGCTCTCCATCCTAGCACGCATGGCTACAGCCATTAACAATCAGCTATTATCGAAAGTCAATCAACCCTCGCCGTTTCGAGAATTACCAAGCCAGAATTACAAACGAGATCGCTCCCGTCTCTTTTCCTCTTTGTCTCGTTTTCTGGCCTCCTTCTGACGTGTGACAGGAAGGCGTTTCCCGATTATCAACAAACAGACGTGTAAGAAACACTCCGTGTCGAAATTAGGGTGGATACAAAATTGCTCAGGCGTTGCTAACTTCCGTGAAACGTGCTGTATTTACTACAGGAATATATTAGGTTGTCCTAAAAGTTACCGCGGTTTTAAGCCGTTCATTTTGAGAAAGAAAAAGTATAGCTTCACTAAAGTTGGACATTTTTATTTCAAATAATTTCCACAATGTTCGATACACTTTTGCTAACGTATTTCAACATCGTTAATTCTTGAGAAAAACACTAGCAGCGAGTCACCCTCGCGCGTGTAAGCTGGGCTAGTTTTAAGTGACTTGTTTAGCAGTCTCCAGAATGGATTTTCTAACAGACACGAGTCGGAATGAGACTTCCGGTGACCACTGGGGAGAAAAGAAAAATTAGAGTTGAACTGAACTTCGGCTGGCGACATCGGAATTCTTCTCACAGCGTTCAAAGTTTCGTTGATATTCTAAAGTAAAGAAACTTCGGATCTCGACGTGATCGCAAACTCAACCTGCACTCCTTGTTTCTCGTTCCACTTTTTTTTCTTTGTTCTCTCTCTCTCTCTCTCTCTCTGTCTTTCTCTCTCTGTCATTCTATCTCTGGTTCTCTCTCTGTCTTTCTGTCTTTTCTTTCTGTCTCTGGTTCAGTAATTCAATTCTGACATGTAGAATACACGATTCACGTGAGAAACACGTTATCCATGTCCGAAGAATTAATCTGGATCATCGGTTTGTGCTCACAAACACATTCGAGGGGGTACAAAGTTTCCACTACGTGAAAATCGGTCAGGAATGAGGAGAAAGGGAGTTTTCCATGTATCAGCTGGATGATTCCTTTCTTCGTACACACTGATAGCGTGGTCCCAATACGCGATAAAAATACGACTCTGTTTCATATTCGAGGAATTAGTTATCGACATTACGCTCCACAGATAAAATGCAGAAGAATTAATGGAGCGCGGACGGACGACACGCGTCCTTGATGAGTCCTTGATACTTGAAGCACAGAGTTCACGCGCACGTAACGGTCTTATCAACGTCTCCACGTCGCTTCAAAACAAATGGAGATTTATCATAAACCCAATGTACACGTCTTTCGGAAGATTCTACGTTTCAACAGGTTGCCAATCGGTTATATACATTTTTTTTTCTTCATGGTACAAGAACTCCTGCGGCGATAATCCTGCTACTTTTATCTCAATTCTATGGGCTAGTTGCTTCACTAGTGAAATACGAAAAATCAGGGACTGACCAGAGATTGAAGTTACTTGATTGCGTTGAAAAGTCTGTTCCTGTAATTTCAAAAATCGAGTACACTCCCGTTCATAAGTATTAGGGCGCCCATTATGTTCCTACAGAAAGTATTATATGATTTAAATTTGCAAAAATGTAGACAACCGTTCATAAGTATTAGGACACTTATTGAATGTAAAGCAAACCTAACAGTCATTACAAAATTATTACGATCTTGAAAAAATGATACAGTCTGGAATTCGAAAGTGCATAGAGTATACCTATACGATAAAACTTCTAAATGTCTATTTCCACTTAAGGTGCCGTCTTAAAAATAAGATCCTAACAGTGTGCTATTGATTACGCCACACTAAACATCGTCATGAAATTGAGTTTGAAAACTCAAGAACTTATTTCGGCCACTGCTTTCATATAATGTAAAAAAATAATGTAGTTATCAATTTGAAAGAAAATTCGTAGTATCGTCATTACGTGAAAACCATTGCAAATATAAAAAATTTATCGAAGCCATCGTATTGCGTATAAAAAATAACGAAACTGTCCTTTTCCATTTTTATCACAAATCTACTATTTACGAGAGTAACACTAAAAACTAATAGCGTAAACACATGCAATTTAAAAATTTTATCTTTAAATTTTAACTTACTTAACCTTAATCTTTAAAACTTAACTTAATCTTAAGATTAAAATCTTTAAATCTCCTTTTAAATCTGTACGAACGTAACAGATGTTCTAATACTTATGAACGACAGTGTATGTGCTCATTATATTACGACATTTTAGGGAGAATAATTTTTCTTTTTAGACCTTAATAATTTCGTAATAACTGTTTAGGTTTGCTTCACATTCACTAAGTGTCTCAATACTTATAAACAGGACTGTACATACACGTCCTGCGTAACCAATTAGATTGATTTTCTTTGAGGTTAATCGACGAGACTCTCCTGGCAATGAATTGCATACGTTTTATCGTATTGTTTTTACTAGTTTCTCTGATTGCTTAGAACGCAGCAGAAGCTTCAAAATGACAGGTTAATATTTTGATTGACTGATAGCGAATATACTGTAGAGGAAGAAAATGTTTTAATATCTTCATGCTGAAGGATTAATAACTCTACAGGTGTAAAAAGCCTTCTTGTATGGGAAATTATTTGTTTGTTCAAACATAATCTTTATTTTAGGTTCATATTTTCTGATATGTTATCTATCTTTCATGTTATATTTAAAAGTATTAATACAGTTATTATACAACATATATTTATTATTGAAATACGGAAATGTTATTTAGAAAAGTTTGACAAATGGTTGAAAGTATAAATGCAAATTGTTATCAAATAAAAATTTCAGGAACTACAATTGCATTTACAATTTTAAGACATTCTGTATACATTCTAAAATGTCGTTTCTTAATGATAAAGTATAAAATAATTAACACTGAAAGGAATTGTGGAATAAGATTTGTGTGAAACTTTGACGATATTTAATGTTACTAAACGTATCTTAATAAGTTTAATTACCTGTGTTATCGATGGAAAATTAAACATGAAGCAGAAGCTATCTAGATTTATATGAAATGAAACCCCATTAGTTTAGCTACCGTTGGCATTCTTGCATGTACGATTAACCATTCTTAGAAACGATACATCTTAAAACACATTTTGACTATACTTCCATTAATACCGGTCTTCTGTGGCAGATGTACATTTATATTGTTGCCATATTAGAGTCTCTGGTCTATGATATATCCGGGCCAGAAATATTCGATACGTCACGAGAGATAATAATGCACGTAAAACGATCATTTGTTAGAAGCTGCATTTGGTCTGTCTAATACGATGACTCGTTAGAGAACGTAAAATATCTGTTCGCTTCTTCTTCGTTCTTTTCAACAAGTAACAAATTAGTTACCTTTTTATACAGTATAGATAAGATACCTTTTTTCGCGTATATTACAAAAAGTTAGCGTAGGTAATATTTATTTTTGAACTAACAAGAAATATCTGTTTTCTATATTTCTTGATATCTAGATCTTTGTTGTGCTTTCTACATTAGAAAATTTAATTAAAATGCTCCCTGTGCAAAATTATTTTCTTATTTGCTCTAAATGTAATCTGTTCATAAATGGTTTTTTGCAGTTCTGAAAAATATTTGACTTACCGAATGGTTGCCATTTAACAGCTACTTGTCGTACACGTATGACATATATAAAATACATTTCGGAGAAGAAACCTAAGTATAATTACGCAATTAGATGGATAATTTTGTAATTATAGTAATTACAAAATCATTCATCTTACACTCGACCTGCAAAAAAGTAATTTGCCCAATATGATGTCTTTCTTCATACCAAATAACCTTTGTAAAAACATTTTTTTGATATATTGAAATATTCCAAAATTGCCAGTTGAAGGAAACACCCTGTATAGTACACAATATATTTATTTATTTATTTATTTCAGTAGTTTTAAAATGTTTTCAAAACATCGACTGCAAGCTGCAAATCCTGCCAAATTAATTAATCCTGACTTTATTAATAGTAAATCGATATTTTCAGAAAACTAGTATATTCTTAACCCTTCGACAATTTATCCCGAGTGAGACTCGGGCAGTGCGTTAAATAACAAACAGTTTAACTCAAGAGAAACTTTTAGGAAGAAAGTTGGAAAGGGACGAGGAATTATTATCAGAATTGTGTCGTATGTACACTAAACTTTAAAAATAACCACACACCATTTAATTATTAAAAAGATACGTGTAAAATATGAATTTTATTCACTCTAATTCATAATTACATTAGACTGTCAAAAGGTTAAACGAGGATTTCGCTGGTAAACTAAAATCTGGTCCGCTGAAATCGTGAGCATTAAGACTAGTTGATCCATTTTCACTTGGTCCGCAAGGAGTGCAACACGTTAGAAAATGGCCAGACTGTAACACAATCCGTTCCGTACTCTGTGCGTGAAAGCCGTTTGGTCACGAGGTGACATCCGACAATGCTCGTGCCCACGCAGCCTTGTAGTGCGTAAAACACTTCGGTCACTTTTCGCCGCAGCATCAAGTTTCTTAGAAACAGAAGCAATGTAGTAGTAGTAGCCTCCCTGTTGCAATACTGTTCGTTCGTTTCCTGGATGGACGATCGAAGAAGGAAGTCCAAGTGACTTTGTTCCACGTATGATTCGTTGTTACAGCCAGCTGCTATCGAGGATCTACGAAGATGGACATCCACAGAGGCGCTTGGAGACGTTACTGTACCACCAGATTGCATGTCCAGGATACTTGGAGATACAACAACCGACGAGGCTGTCGATCACAAGCTTCCAAGCCCCGAGGAACAAGTTCAAGCTGTAGCTCTCAAGTAAGGAGGAAATTTATGCCACCGTAAAGATAATGGACACGAGAGAGGAGATTTTTTATCGATTCATCGAATTGTACATTTTCTACCGCGAAACTATCTAAATACCAGGTTTCATTAACCCTTTCGCCGCTGTTGATAACTATAGGCGCATTGAAAATTTTCTCACTGTAAGCATTGTGAAAATTTTCTCGCGCTGTGCTTTTTCGCGAGTTTTGGCACACTTTCGACTTAATTCAATCTGTAACTTTTGCCCCTCGCGCACTTCCACCTTAATTTATTAGAGTAAAATAATTAATTTTTAAATTTTAATTTAAAAATTTGTTAAAAATCATAAAATAGAAAAATAAAAGATTTTGCGGCCGCAATAGAACGACTACCGTCTGCCACGCGCATTACGTACTAAAATCTGCCGCAGGTAAAGGGTTAAGGATCTAATTTAACTCATTCTTCCTAGCAACGTTCAATTTTATCATTTACGAAGTTTACCGTCAGAATCGACTTTCGAATTTTTGCTTTTCGTTGCACTATTACTTCCGACTGTTGAATGCTAAAGAAAACTGATACGTTCTACAGATTCCCAGCAGAAATCGTAGCGGTGGATGTTAGTGGAAAAGGATTTGAGAGGATGTCGATGAGAAGGAGATCCTTGCTGTCCGGCCCGGAGAATCAAGAAGCAGCTGTGAAAAGGCGGTCGCGACCTCGCAGGCCTAGAGGAAAAAGACGGAACACGATCGCTGGTACCGATCAGAAGGAAATTCGACAAGCTATTGGAGGGTGAGTTTAACACACACACACACGCACACACTAGCTGTTCGATTGAGAAAATTTCATCAGGAAACCGAAACTGCACACGTGTGAAGAATGACCGATAATTCGAATTCAAACGGATAAATTGTTCATTGTGACTTTCAGTGAACCAACCGGAGAAGAAGCAGAGGAGGCAATGTCGAGCATAGCGTCAAGAGCTCATCGATCAGCGAGTACGGATATATTGGACTCGTCTAAAAAAGAATCGGCGACGGAAAAGAAGTCCCACTTTAACACGTTGAAAGCATGGGGCATGTCCAGGCTAAAATTGATCAGTCCGAAGTCTAGCCAGCAGTCAGATCAGCAGGAGACAACTACTTCGAGCACAGAGAGGTCAGAACAGGATCAAGGTCAGTCGAGATCAGCCGAGGAAACAAATATTTACGAAATCGTAACAACCAGGCGCAGAAAGGACAAGTCTCACGAAAGGAAGCCCAGTTCGTCGAGCTCAAGCGGAAAAAGTACCTCGAGCATACCGGTATCCGTCCCGAGCACTGAGAGACAACCGAGCGTGAAATTGCGCGAAAGTGCAGCCCAAAGAAGAGAAAGACGAAAGGGAGGGAACCGCGACGAGCCACCGCATTCTAGCTCTGGAAACTGGAGTGCGTCCTCCGAAAGCGGAAGGGCGAGTATCGGAAGCGAAACCACCACTACCACTCATCAGCCGAGGTATGATTATTACCTGTTTCAGGATTATAGTGTAAGATAAATGTGTTACGAGAAAAACGAAATGACACGAAGAAAGTCTAGTGTTTACTACAGTAGACTCCATCTTACGATTAGGTTGTGGTCATAGTGGATGAGAATATGTACATTAGGATGAACTCAATACGTCAAAATAATCAAATGTCTATAAAGATTTTTACGAGTGTATGCATTTCAGTCTTCAGATATTTCATCGATTCGTCCGAATACGCATCTACTATAACCACAACCATGCCACTTTCCGTGCCGCATACGCCCCATTCTGGACTTTCCGTTCCGACCATTCCACATTTTCGCCTTTTCCTTCTGTTGACTTAAACTATGCATTTAGGGCGATAATTTGTTGAAACGAACATTTTTCATTTGCTCTATAGTGCGTCTTAATCGTTACCTTTTTCTTGATAACAATGATTTTTGCGGTCTTATAAATATTAGAAGACCTATAGGATGAAAAGCAAATCTGTTACTCTCAGCAATGTGGCGCGCATATGACTCACGTGGTTTGAACAGAAAGTCACCGAAAATCGGTCTGGCATGGAACGTGTTAACCGGTCATATTTTCGTTAGAGGCTCAAACAATTGACATTTTCCACGAGCTTTTCCTGTTTAAACATTGGTACGCGTAAAATAATGGTCTGAAGTGACTAGAGCTCACAAAGGTTAACTCTTCGATTTTTAAACATTGAAGCTAACAATAGGATATATACTACGAAAATAATGATACATATACTTTTTACAACATACAGGACTATATATTTAAGAAAGGAATTAGTTATTTGATCTATTTGGCTATTTTCCTTTTGAAACTGAATTGAAGCTATAATTGAGGTCTACAGTTAACTTTTTCATTATTTCATTTAGATAATCATATTTTAATTTTTGAAGGTTTTATATAATGACGTTTTAATCATTGCAGATTATCACGTTTTTTACATTTTCAAGATCATAATTATTATTATTGTTGTCGATCTATCGAGAGTAAAACAAATCTTATTATGGTTCAGATAAATTAAGTATATTAAATCAATTAATCAAATAGATCAATTATTAAAACTGTTTTGTATGATTACATAATTATTTTAAATATTAGTTTCATATTTTATTTCTGTACCTCAGAGCCAGACTAATTATACTTGATTTTTTTTTTTCCAAATTTTTGTATGTTCACCATCTTACTGTTCTTTCTTTACTTTCACATAGCCATAGGTAGCTATGTATTGGTTAAGTTAAAGTTACAATAAAAGATTTGGGTCAGTCTGGCTCTCAGGTACTTATTGTACATTTGGATGTTAAAAACTATGAATATATAGATCTACAACAACTGCCTCGATTGGAACTTCCTCGACATCTTTGAGTCATGTGAGGCGGTTCAAGGGACGAGACACGTCGACCTCATCCTCGGTAACGTCAGAAGGTACATTAACACCAGATATTATACAAGATATCGCGGTGGTACCTTTCTCGGATGATGGTGAAACATCGTCCGTGTACTCCTGTGATACGGAGGGCTATTATACCTCATTCCACGTGGACTCTGGCCTGAAAACTCTGAGAGAAGAAGACGCAGTCCCGCAGAGTCCTTTGACAAAGTCCAGCGATGTTGGCTCCGATCCTACTTCGCCAATTATTGAAAATGAGTACGAACTTTTCGGAAGGGGTTCAACATCGACAACGACGAGTTCTGCAGGCACAGTTTGCACTGCTCTGATGGCACCGCCACCGCCAGAAAGAAAATCTAGCCTTACAGTCGTTGCCATGGTAAGAAATGATTCTTAGTCTTAATAACCGTTTAGATATTAACACGATACTGTGTGAGATAAATATTACAAATTCTGTTTAATAACTTCTTCAATTGTTTGTGAATATATTTTTGACTTTGTCTAATTCTATACTATCGCTTTTTAAAGTTAGAACTTGTGATCCACCGATATAAGTATAATTTATTTCTTTGTGAAGAATAGGTGCAAGTATAACGATATAATCATAGAAAGAGGCTTTTAAATAATTAACAAAAAAGATCACTTAAATAGTGTCTTAGTCAAATTACTTTTTTATTTTCCCATAATTACTTTAAGCATATAGAAGAAGATTTGTATTGTGATAAGATAAAATAAATCAGAAGTAAATATTCTACTGAACGATCTTTTGCTTAAATAAAGTTTAACAGTTGTTTCTCATGTTTTCATTGTTACCATTAAATCGTAACCACAGGAATAGTAGAATTAAATAATCACTAAGGAAGAAGCTGAAGAAAAAGTCGAAAGTAAAGCAAATAAACGTATTTAATTAACTAATATGTGTATAATTACTAAAATTAGTTTGTTTTCTTCAATGAGAAACTACTTCAATTACCTTTTAATAATCGAAAAGTACAGATTGTTCCTACCTCCTAATAATTCCACTTCTCACAGCACTAACATTCACTTACGACATACACTTTAACAAATGCTGGTTCATCAACAGGTTCACGGACAAAATCAAAACGGCGGTGAGTCTCCAGACAGTGGTCACAATACTTCATCGTCGCCGGTTGAATCAGCCTCGAGTCCAGCGTGCACAGGGAGATCGTGTTCAGAATTCGAATACTCCGAGTCGAGCGATCTCGAAAGCTGCGAGAGGATCGAGAGAATACGTTCGAAAACGGCGATCAATACTAGCCGCATACCATCCATGTGTGTGATCACACCACCTGGCTCAGACGACGAGCACGCGAGAGATTCCGATCAGACGATCAAGAAAAGTGAGAGTAAAAAGGTCGATCTACAGACCGGAGGATCTGTCCTCATGTCCGCCACGGTTGGCACCTCCAAGATGGAAGTAATAAACGGACAAGATAAGAACCTCTACGCCACGATACAAGTATTAACTTCCCCTACGAACGAGAAAACACTAGTTGGACAGACTCATTCGCCTAAGATCAGTCCACTCAGCGGAGTTTTAGGCAAACTTCGCGGCGTACTTCCCGGTAAGAAGCACATATTGAAGAGTGTAGTTCAGGATCAAGCAGCGACAGCAGACTCCGGCGACTATGTCACCATAGCCGACGTGAGAAACAACAACGACAAGCGTCAGGATTCGGCTTCTTGTTCGAGCGCAACACCTGTCCAACCTTCTGTCACCTACGCCAATTCCGATATTTTCAAGAAAGACGCCGAGTACGTTAGTCTAAGCGAATTACCGAAGAAACCAGATTCGTCGTTGGAACGGAAGAGACAGGGGGCAAGGGTTACGCTGGATTCGGAAGGGAAGGTTGTTTATTCGTCTGACAGTTTGAAGAGGAGGAAAGGCGCACATACTACGTTTAATCCAGGTGTGTTTGATTGTCTGTCGAAGGTTGATCGTCGATGTCGATGGAACAATAAGTTTATTATTGGATAATGTACATTGAAAATTTAGTGTAACCAATTATATCTATCAATAGATTATATTTCAATAATTGTTAACTGTGCTTCTAACATACTTAGGTGGTGTATCATATAAATATTTACGCTTCTTTAATTAGTTAATCTTATGGTACTTCGCTAACAAAATTCATACTAGTCCTTCGTATAATCAATATAGCATACATACAGGGTGTGACCGAAAATATTGTACAATCAGGTAGCAGGTGATTTCTTATGCAGAAATAAATAATAAATGCAGAATAAAATTTATTCATCTGAGACTTAGTTTTTGGGAAAATTTGGTTTGAAAATCCGTTGCGTAATTTCTTAATTGATGTAATAAAATATTGTCAAATTTTGTGTTTCTGCTTTCTTGAACCTAGTAACTTGGAAAAGTCGCGTAGACGTTGTATACAAACACGATAGACATTGTATGTCGTTCGACGATCCTTATCTTAGCTATGTAAGTCCAAATGTGCGTAATGAATTTTCAAACCCGATTTTCTCAAAAACTAAGTCTTGAATGAAAAAATCTTATTCTACATTTCTTATCTATTTTTGCACGAGGAATCACCTGCTACCTTCTTGTACAATACTTTCAACCACAGCCTGTATATTGATATATCACATTCACCCATAAAAAAAACTACAATTGTGTAAACAATGATATGTGTACAAAAACATGTAAACATAACTACAGCGATGTATCGGGGGGGAATTAACGTGAACAAAAATTCCTATAGACATTTATCCTATTTAACTATATGTCCTATTCACAAGTTAACTACAGTTTTGTATTTCGATATTATTGGGTATAAACAAAGTAAGTTTAATATTTTCGTAGAAGTTTGTCTTTAAAGCAGAAACTTCGTTAGACGCATTAGAATGTTCCAAGTGTTGTTTATATTCATTGGAAGCCTTCTTTAATGCGTTGACCTATTATTTCGATATTATTTACCCCAACACTGTAAACTATAGACTTTAGGTGCCTTCGCATATAAAATCTCAGTGAATTAAAATCTAATGATTAAAGTAAGAAACCTTATTTGAAAAGCACTGATATGAAAATTATTTTGCTAAACGACAAAATGAGAAAATTCACAAAAGGTATAATCGACGGAAGAAATATGGTGAGGTCCTAAATTAAAGCATTTTACGTTTTTCGATTAGGATTGAATCAAAGCTAAGGTACACTCATTTAGCCCTAATTGAGATTCCGAGCTCTTATCTTCTCAGATTTCTGTCTACATGCTCGAATATGTAAATTTTGATGCCTGAGCGAACTTGTGATCTCGCTATATTTCTTCCACGGACTATATGTGGTAAATAGCTGAGTAAAATCAGTTATATTAGCTCAATTTTCAAGGAGAGTTATTCAAATACAAAACTGCCTGTAACGTGGAAATAAGATCAAATAGGGCAACTGTTCATAAGCATTTTTTTCATTGTTGTTATGTCACTATTCCATGTTTCAAGTGATGTCCACACATTCTGATACGTTTATATAACTATCATTTTCGAATACAATTAATCAGAAAAAAAATTTGTTAACAATTGGAGAAACACTCGTAGTAGATGTGAGTGAATGTTGCATATACTTGTTTTTTTTTTTACATTTTTGGAAGTAAATTATATTCTTGTATGTCTATATTCAATGTTTTTACACTTTGTTCATATTCGTACATAAAATTAAGGAAAAGTTCTAAACAGAACAATAACTTTGTGGTGATCTGTGAAATAAAGGATTGGACTTTTTTTTTGTTTATACTTGAATGTGTAGAACCAATTATCTACAGTGAAAGAGAAAAAAATGAAAATGTTTTTTCGCATTTTTCTATCAATACTAATTTTTGGTTGTCGATAAGCGTGTGAAATATCCAAAGCAATTTGTTATAACACATATTACATATAAAGTATAAAATGTAAAGTGTAAACGTTTTAAATCCACAATGAAGTGTAATTGTGGCAGAAAACTACGAATATCTTTGTTGTAATATATTAAGTTGTTTCATTAGTCTTTGCGTTTCTGTTAACGTTTTACGTTTGCTTTGTATTTAGGTCAAGCAAACGTCATTTGCTTCAGTATAATCGGCACAGACCTTCTGCTTAAAGATGTTGTTTATTCAAGGCACTTTTGCATTAATTTATACACGAGAACATGATGATCAATGAAATTTAGTTGAGATACAACATATTATATAAATTTTAATTTAAACATAACGCAATCAGAGCGACCAAAAACGTTTGTAGGACAATAATGGTACAGTAAAACGTCGATAATATCAAATGTGGTTTTCCACAATTTCAACCTGGAAATTTAGACGTTAAAAATTTATCTAGGTCTGTCGGACACGTTGAAATTCATTTCGATGACCTTTAAGCAACAATAGATAAAGATCCAAAATTATTCTCTAACGAATTTTCTTATAAACTCAATACGAGGCCTACAACAGTGTACAATTACCTGAAAACAAAGTGTCAAAAGTGTGGACTCTGTAGATTGTCTTTTCAAACACACGAAAGATGGTAAAGACTTATGGAACAAGTTGATATTTCGATTGGCACGGCATTGGTTAAAATTGTAAAAAGTACAAGATTTTGCTTCTTAAGATACGTAAATATATGCGAGATGAAGAAATTCCACGTATTTCCTATATCGCAAATTTCATTACTAAATCGTTCTCTAAATAGGTCCATTCGTAAGAGAAGGAATATCACCGAGTCTATCGCCGTTGTTGCACCGCGCAACCCCGACCGTTCGGGCAGTGACGAAGACAAACGACGCTGTAGACGGGCTGACAAGCAAATCCACGCCACCAACCTCTCCCCAATTAGGCAAGGTGATCATCAGAGCAGCGAGAAGTCCCGATCGCACAGCCAGTCCGGATTACGTGAGAACCCCGACAACTGTGGTGGGACCAACGAGTCCAACGACTCCCCATCGACAAGTTCGCGGGGCTTACGTCAACGTACAAGACGACGAAGGTAAGACGGCTTCTGGTACGAGCACTGACGAACGTGATTGCACTGGCTGCGCCGGTAGCTTAGAAGCACAATGCGCACTTGCGACAAACCTTTGTTCTAACGATAAGATGAACACACCTTTGAGCATCGACGAGAGTCCGCTGCTTTCGACTAACAACACCTGTCGAACAGCCACCGAAATAGTAGTAATGGCACCGAATAACAAGCTCTTCGATCTTAATAAGTCGAAGTTCTGCTCGAAGACACCGTACGTGCAGAATAGGTCAATGGATGTAACAGCTTGTGAATATTATCCGCCGGAACTTGTTAACGATAGTTCGGTTTCTCAGAAAGATCATCAGGTTATGAATAATGTAGATACACCGGCGACGAATTTCAAATCCAAGCTTCTGCGGCTCGACTTCGAGAAGTCAGTTCTTTGTCCGAAAAATCTGAGATCGACCGGCAATACACCAAAATTAAGTAGGAAGTTGCTGGTGTCTGATCTAGACACACCAAACTTTTGTAGGAAAATTACAAAACGGGAGCATCGATGTGACGATAACGATGTTGTAGATATTAAGGAGAACGAGAGTAGCGTGTCAAATGGAGATAGATCGTTACCTGATATGCTCACAACCAACGACTGTGGGCCAAGCGCTAAAGATCCGATCGCAGATTCCCCAGACGGTTGTGAAACATGTCTAGATAACAATATTGCGAAAAAATCTGACACATTTAGAAACGATAGGGTCGAACGTAAAGTGAAAAGAAGCGAGAGCTATCGAATGGCAAACAGTCCAATAATGTTTATCAAAAAGTTTTCCGGCAACGGGGAGAAATCATCGAAGATCTGTAGAACACCATCAGAGGAGTTGCAGGAGGAATTGTTAAAAGAAAGGATAAATTATCCCGAAACAATTTCTAGTCCCGAACCTTCGATCAATAGCAACGTGAACTTCGACATGAACGTGACAATCTCGATTCCCATTACGACTGCTGCAAAAAGTCCTAGACCCAGAGCCACGGACATTGAGCTCGCTAGAGTGCTCAAATATTCCAGTAACGATACCGAAATTTGGTGATTAATGAGATAAATATTTCTTGCTAAATGATATTAATAAAATCATATTGACATGACTGGTAATTATGCGCGTTGCAACATTTCCGAACTTAGGATATGGCCGTTTTTAGTGTGATGCGGGCGCCTGCGCGTATGATTACCCGCACGCGGGGTTTGCTTTAAGTGTGACGCGTACAATCTGCACATCGTTCAGTGTTTTCCGATCGTAAGAGAAAGCATAAAGAAGGTAAGAGAAGTCTCTCTTTTTTTTTTAAATAGGAATATTGTTCCTAGAAGGTTTGGCTACGGAAGTGAGAATATGAAAATATTTTTTGATGAGAGACTTAGAAATCTCTGTTGGGAATCTCTTTGCGCCTGTTACGATGCCTTCATCACAGTAAACGGCAGGTTAAGGGTGAATTGCGCATGCGCGGGCAGGCTCTGCAGACTGCCCGCGGATACTTAAAGATGCCCACGGATGCCCGCTGCATTCTGTATCGTAGGCGCCCGCATCACGCTGAAAGCAACCAACTTTTTATTTTTGTAATTTGCAGAACTGTTTTTCTTGAAGTGACACATCAAATAAACTTATCGTCGTTAATTTTATTCTGGGAAGATTATGATTCTTGAAACGGTTGAAATTTTTCATGTTACTTATCATGATACGATATATAGCAGTATTAAAGATCATATTTTTAGTTCAGTGTACTTGCATATGTACTCGGCAATCATACTAATTATAAATCTTTTTAATTTTTTTGTTTTGGATGAGTCTATGAGCTGAATTCACTTCCGACAGCGAGGCATGTCTTTTTTAAAGGCTCTATCTTTATCTCCAGATATAGTATTAAACAAACAATTCAAAAGTTTTTTGAAAAATTGTTTTGCATGCTTTACAAGTGTCTTGATATGTGAAGAAAGCTTGACATTGCTATTAGTCGTAGAATACCGAGAAAAGAAATCCTGAATATAGCCGAAATTTACAGCATGTAGACTAGAGTACCCCCTTAAGGCACAAAAAAATTTTTTAAAAGTACTACAATGGAAGAACTAATACCGAGTTGACATCTGAGCTCGTTTTGACGCTCGGATTACGTAGAACATACTCTGACGTGTGACTGATTTTACGACCTCGCTACATCGCTTCCACCGACTATACTTGTATTCATAGATGTTAATTTAACTTTACTGCTCCAACGAAAGATTAACAATTATAAAATTGAACGACAGATTTCTCACCAAATCCCCTGTTCTTTTCTTCTTGTTCAAACGGTTACGTCAAACATGCATTAGATAATAACTATCGAAGTCAGAATATCATTGCAGAAAATAGATCGATTGTTAGGAGATCGATTGTTGGGAAAATAGATAAAAGAACTTGCCGATGTAGAAGTTATCGTAGTCATGTGCAGTCTATCTCACAAAGAGCGTGGCGCTCATATCACCAAGAGAAATCGTTAGAATTAAAAACAGTTCATATGGTCATATAGTATTTTTTATGCATTATTGCGCAATTACCTAGTAAGTGGTCCAGTCTCCATTGTTGTCGATTATTGCCTGGCATGGTCTGAGCACACTTTCGACAAGTTTTTCTGCATACTCTGAAAATAAAGACTACTAATTTTTTAGACTAATAATTTCTTCTTAGTAGCGAACACCCGTTTTTCTTGAAGCTTCCGTTTTATAAGACCCCAAACATTTTCAGTTGGATTAGCATCCGGCGATTGCGCAGGCCAATGTAATGTCACAATGCTCTTTTCTTCTTTCTACACCGTACACAAATGACTTCGGTGTTTGGTGCCGTTATTCTCTTGGGAGTTTGTTCTCCGAACCACTTTTTAACAGACTTTATCAAGCCTCACTCATAGATTCTGATCATTCTCTGAGGTTATTAAGGTTCCAAATCCACGAATGCTGAAGCAACCTCAAACATGAATTTTTACTGGGTATTTTACAGTACGTGTCAATAATTGGCGATTGCAGGGACACCAGGCACGCTTAACACGTATCCATGTCCAAAAGAAAACTTCGTAAAAAAGAAATTAGCATCACTGAAATTGCGATTAATATTTGCACAAGCCCAGTTCAGCCACTTTTCCACGTGCGTTTGAATCAGCAACGATTTCCCCGTATACTTTTCCAAGACAGGTTTGCAGGTCATTAAACCGATTGCTATTCCTCTTTCAGCAAGCCGCTTTTGTGCTTGCTTCAAAGTTAGCAGAGAATTTGGCACGAACATCTGAACGACTGCTCTATCTTCCTGAGATGTGGAGTTACGAATTGTCTTGATTTTCTCAGGTACTTTGCAGTAGCCGTAAAAATCGTTTTAGAACCTTTGAAGTGACAACACAAGAACACTGCTTCTAATCGTTTCGAATACGGAGCACTCAGTTGGAAACTCGTTATTTTTTTTCTACAGAATCGCAAACTGAACTGACACGTGAGTTCAACGGCGTATCGGAAGACACTTCTCTCCCAAAATTCTTGCTGAAGTACAGGGCCGTAGCTATGAGCGCCACGCTCTTGTGGGACAGACTGTACTCTAGCGTCTATTATGCAAAAAGGAGAGTGCAGCTAGGCGGGAGAGTGTCATTGCTTGGAAATTAATGAGGGCAAACAGCAAACGATCCGTTCGACGGTCATGATAACGAGATCGAACAATGTTTTTCCGCATTAACATAGACACGATAGAAAAGTCATGTTTCCCGTATCTGCCAACTCGTCCGATCTATCGGCAGCTGCAAGACAAGACAAAACGAGAGCCTCCTAATGTAACGTTGCGAAACGATAAATGTGAATTCCCTCTTGTCGCCTTTTATGGCGAACGGAATATTTCAGAGTTCAATAATTTCGTTGATAAGCCCGGCAATGCAATCCATATATAAATATATATATGTGTGTATATATGCATATATATATATACACACACACACACACATACACATACACATATGTATCTATATATGTAAAACCTAACCTAACCTACATATATATACATAACCTAAAAGGACACAAGGTTAACAAATAACATTGCATACGCATTTCTGCAAGTTCCCCTGTTTTTAACACGCTATGGATTTCCTATTTTTCTTTCACCGAGTACCAGTATCATAGCAGATAAAAAATACATCTTCCCATTGTTGTCTGCAGACTTTTCTCTCGCAAGTCTCTTCACTTATGTACATACAATCACGCGCTTAAAAAGAACTACGAAGAACAAAGTTTTCTTTCTTTCTTTTCGCGCATCATCTCCGTTTACGTTTAATTAGAACGTCATAAAGCAAAAAAAAAAAAAATGCCGAAGTATAATCCTTTAAGAATAAACGATAACTGTATATAGTAAATTTCCATCGATTTGTCTGGTTCTTCTAATCGTAGGCTACTATATCGCGATTCAATGTTTGCAGATCGATCGAAACTCATTTGTAACCTTCCAACATACCACAAAGAAGAATTATCGTGACAGCATCGAGTAAATAGGAAATCTTACGCCTTAGCGTACGGTATGCAATAAAGTAAAGGGCGGGGGCCAAAGACGATAAGCTGGAAAACTCCAAGAAGCCCCCAATGAAGCCTCACTTTGTTAGCCGTTATCGTCATCATTAGCCGCTGGCTCAATAAGTAACAGAGTTGCATCAGACATGATATTTATCCCGACTGATAATTCGAAATCCAGATAAACAAAATTCCCTACTACCCGCAGACGATTCAAATACTTTCGAGCGAATGCCATCCGCGTCAGTTCACTTCGATCTGGCCGTATTCACGTTTAAACGCCGTTTAATTCCTCAGTTGAGCAAGCTTTTGTCCACCCTCGGTTTTGTCACCCTTTCGCAACATCTCGTCGATATCTTCTTCGAATTTACCATGATCTCGACTAATACGAACGAACTGTTCAGACTGTTGCCCGACGTGACGTTTCCTATTAGATTTGGCGGGAAATTCGAATCGAAAAATC